CTTGGAAGAAAAGCTATGACATACCTAGACAGTGTATTAAAAAGCAGAAACATCACTCTGTGCCAAAGTTCTGTATAGTCAGAGCTAATGCTTTTCTAGTAGTCATGCATGGATGTGAGAGTTGGACAATAAAAGGCTGAGCACCAAAGAATTGATGCCTTGAAACTGTGGTGCTGGGGAAGTCTCTTGAGAGTCTCTTGAACTGCAAGGAAATCAAACCAGTCAATTCTAAAGGAAATCAACACTGAATATTCATTGGAAAGATTGATGCTGAAGCTCCAATACTTTGGCCACCTGATGTGAAGAACCATCTTATTGGAGAGACCGTGATGCTGGGAAAGATTGAGGGTGAGAGGAATATAGTTGTAATAGTTTCAGGTGGACAGCAAAGGGACTTAGCTATAGTTATACATGTATCCAGTCTCTCTCAAACTTCCCTCTTATCCAGCCTGCCACATAACATTGATCAGAATTCCTTGTGCTATACAGTAGGTCATTGTTGGTTATCTATTTTAAACATAATAGTGTGTACATGTCCATGTACACATCCATTCCAAACTCCCTAACTATCTCTATCCCCTATTCTTCCTACCTGGCAACCATAAATTCATTTTCTAAGTCTATGAGTCTTTCTGCTTTGTAAATAAGTTCATTTGTATCATTTCTTTTTAGATTCTGCATAAACGAGGTGTCATACAATATTTCTCCTTCTCTGTCTCACTTACTTCACTCAGCATGGTAATCCCCAGGCATTTCCATGTTGCTACAAATGGCATTATTTCATTATTTTTTAGGTTGAGTAGTATTCCATTATATATACGTACCATATCTTTTTTATCCATTCCTCTGTTGATGGACATTAAGTTTGCATCCATGTCTTGGCTATTGTAAACAGATAAGTCACTACTTTTATGGATGTTTAAAAATTTTCATAATAAATAAATCAAAACATTAATTTATGAAAAATACTTATTTGCTTAAATTTTTTTCCCCAAAAAAGAAGAAAAAGAAAAATAAAACAAAAGAAAACACTGGCTTTACTTCAACTTGGTGTTACTGTGACCCTGAATAAATGAGAGCTAAAGATATCAAGTCTCATTTGGGACAAAGATCTCATTGTTAGAGTTTTGCTAAGACTGAGAATATAAATGGACAGAGGGCTTAAAACTTTTTTTAATTTAAAAGTTCACTTTCTTTTTTTTAAATTTTGTGGTGGCAAGGAGGTGCTGCCTTCTAGTATGTCATATGACACCATTTTATATTAGGGAAAGCTAAAGAGGAACAACACTATCAGAATTTCACAATGGCATTTGTGACAAAATAATGAATACAAATAAAGAATAATATAGGAAGTCTCTCCTGCCTCTCAAAAAAGCTGCAGGTGAGTGATGATATTGGGTTTGTCACCTAGGGAGCTCAGCACACCTAGGTATTCCCTCTCGCCCAGTGAGGTGCTGTCAACCTTTTAGCACCTCCCTGTTCTCCATCCATTCCCTCTAGAAACAGCTTCTGTGTATACCCTGTGCCAAGCACTGGGCTGGTTGCATGGATACGCGTGGAAAGAAACATGGTTCTCACACTGCAGGAGCAATCTAGGAATGAGTCACCTGCTCAGGAAAGAGAAACAGAAAGGTTCTAAACAAGTGGAGTTGTCTCCCTAAGGTGGTGCAGAGAACTGGAGGGCACCCTTAGAAGCTAAAGACATCAGGGAAGGTTTCTGGAAGTGGAGGGATATTGAAGAGACCCAAAGGAAAGTAGTGATGATGATAATCCAAGAAAAGTAGGAGAGTGAGGAAAGCATCCCAGACAGGGAGAGGCATGTGCCGAGGCCTGAAGGCCTGGGGAGGACAGGGTGGGCATGAGTGCCAGGCAGAGAAAAGATTGTGGAGGGGAGACTGGGTGGTGGAAAGTGGTGGTGGGCACTGAGCTGAGGAAGGGCTATAATGAAGGAGCAAATGTCTATACCAGGTTCTCAGTGTGGTCTGGGGCCAGCAACATTAGCATCGCCCAGGAAGTTCCAGAATGCAAATTCTCAGGCTCAACCCAGACCTACTTAATCAGAAACCCTGTGGGTAATGCCCAAGAATCTGCTTTAACTAGCCTTCTAGGTGATTCTCCAAACTATTTTACCCTCCATGGGACATTTAGTAGTGTCTGAATACACTTTGGTCTGTATGACTGATGGGGCTAAAGTACTACTACCAGTGTTTAGTAGCCTGGGATGATGCTAAACACCCTACAGTGCACAGGACAACCTCCCCCCACCCCGCCCCACCCCTGCCAAAAAAATCCAAATGTTAATGGTGCGGCTGTTGAGAAATCCCGATCCTCCCTTTCTCTGTCTGTGTCTTCCTTCCTTCTTGTCTCTTTTTTATTCCCACTTGTCCTTTACAGACAGATAGCAGAGTACTCAAAAAACCACCAAATGCTCCTTTTCCACATTTTTGTTATTTACTCAGTTACAGATAACCATCTCCTTTTATTGAATTAGCAATTCCCCATGACTAAGTTGACCTGTGGTTAATATAGGCATTATCTTATTTTTGCCCCAAAGGTTCCATTTCTCTTCCTGGGAGTGGGATAGGGTGGCTCAGAGTATAGGTGACAGGCTCCACCTCAGACCTGAAGCTGTAGGTCTTGGCCACCTTGCACATAAGCTTACACCTGAGGCCCAAACAACCAGGAGTCTTGATTTTGGCGTGAAAGACAGCTGCGGTGAAACTGGAGGCTTCCACAAGAGACATCAGGGATAACTCTGAACTCTTCCTCAAGACCACAGAAGTAAGCATGTCCACAGATAGTACAAAGTCCACACAGAATGTTTTTAAGCAAAGATGTAAAGTCACATGAAGAGTTTGGGAGTAACTGATGGATAGGATTCTGATCTGAAGGATAACATTGACAAATCCAATAATTATATCCACTAGAAGAAACCACTTGTCCTTTACAGACAGATAGCAGAGTACTCAAAAAACCACCAAATGCTCCTTTTCCACATTTTTGTTATTTACTCAGTTACAGATAACCATCTCCTTTTATTGAATTAGAAATTCCCCATGACTAAGTTGACCTGTGGTTAATATAGGCATTATCTTATTTTTGCCCCAAAGGGCCCATTTCTCTTCCTGGGAGTAGGATAGGGTGGCTCAGAGTATAGGTGACAGGCCCCACCTCAGACCTGAAGCTGTAGGTCTTGGCCACCCTGCACATAAGCTTACACCTGAGGCCCAAACAACCAGGAGTCTTGATTTTGGCGTGAAAGACAGCTGCGGTGAAATTGGAGGCTTCCACAAGAGACATCAGGGATAACTTTGAACTCTTCCTCAAGACCACAGAAGTAAGCATGTCCACAGATAGTACAAAGTCCACACAGAATGTTTTTAAGCAAAGATGTAAAGTCACATGAAGAGTTTGGGAGTAACTGATGGATAGGATTCTGATCTGAAGGATAACATTGACAAATCCAATAATTATATCCACTAGAAGAAGGTTTACAGGGCAAAAGAGTAAGGAAAGTTTAAAGTTACAAATATAGGCATTGGCAGTGTCCATCCAACACTTTCCAGGGGAGCTGGTGCCTCCAATATGAATGTTTCATCTGCTTATTATTATTCACAGTGGTAATAGGTGTCCCAGGTTTTTAAAGTCTGAAGCCATTAATGATTTCCATTATCCAGCTTCCTTAGCTCTGTTTTCAGGCTCTCACACAACCCCCTAATAACTGTCTTCCCCATAGTTAACCCACATGGAGAAAATGACCTGGCAAAGCTGATAAGAATGTTGAGTCTGCTTGAGTGTTTTTCACTAAACATGAACCAATTGGTCTTTTGGTTTATATCTCTGGGCTCTATTGAATCTACTTAGCCATCCTGCTAGATAGAATAACCTCTGGGACCCTGACAACATGGAGTTCTGGACTTCCAAGGTAGAGTGAGAGCCAGACCAAGAACCAAAAGGAATGCCTCTGGGCATCTGCTTCTGGCACTTGGTCTATTGCCCTCTTTGGTCATCCTGATTGTCATAACACATCTTTTCTTCCAACTTCTACATTCCCACGATACTCAAAAAACATGTGTGGTAGATTGGAAAAGTGGCCACCATACTCTGCAGCTCCTTCCACCAAGAAGTGGAGTCCATGTCCTATTTCCTCATCCCTGAATCTCAGATGGCCGTGGGACTGGCCAGCAGAACACAGAGGAAGTGACCTCATACGAATTTGAGACTGGGTCTCAAGACATGTGCATCTTCTGCCCTGGATCCTTTGGACCTTAAAGTTGCTTAGTGTATCAGTCCAAGCCAACCTGCTGAATGATGAGAAACAAATGTCCCCACCACCTTGATCATTCCAGAGGAGAGCCAGACAAACCCCAGGAAGAGAGGCATTCTGCTTGGTACAGCTGACTGCATATACATGAGGAAGTCCACCCGAGACCAAGAGAAGATCCTCTTGTGGCGTGGTGTACATGTGCTCAGTCATGTCCAGCTCTTTGTGACCCCATAGACTATAGCCCACCAGACTCCTCTGTCCATGAGAGTTTCTAGGCAAGAAATAGTGGAGTGGGTTGCCATTGCCTTTCTCCAGAAGAGCCTCTTAGATGAACTCAGCTTGCCAATGCACAGAGACATAAGCTTAAATAAATGGCTATAGTTTTAAATATTAAATTTTGGAGTAGTATTTTATGCAGCAGTAGATAATTGACAACAACAGCATTTGTGTTTATAATAACTCCTAGTTAGTCCTTGAATTTATTGCCACATTTCTATCTGAGAAGCCATGGGATTTGCCTCTCAACCTAACACAACTGGGATTTATCTCTTATTATCTCAGGAGCCACAAAGGCTCTAGCAGAAGGAAACCCTTTGTTTTTTTTTCCATCAAGATGCTAAGAGATCTAGGTAAAAGCTACAGAAAATTTTGAGTCTGCCAACATTCACTTGAGGAGAAACAGGAGGATTAAATATGTAAAACTGCATTTCTTAGACATAGACACATTTCTGACCTTCAGCCGGCGGTCGGGATCTCCACTGCATAGAGAGTTTACAGATACTTTGAATGATTTCCAGGCTGGGCTTAAGTTATTCATCACAACCTGAGGAAAAAAGAAAGGAGTGGTGGGTAGGAAAGGAAATGCTTGACATTTTCACTTTCAACATAAAAACTACTTGAGAAGCATTGAAAGCTTGAGAAGCTTATGAAATGGACAATTGTCTGCAACAGGTGTCTTAATGAAAACTTGAAGTAGTAAAGCTTTGAAAGGTGCTCACTAAGTGAACATTATGGGCAGAACTCCTGTGATCACTAGCCTGGATGCTGTTTTATGAATAATAACAATAATATTGTACAGTATGTGGGTGTTGGAGATGACCCCTTCTATATCAAAAGAGGGTAGGATTAAGGAGATGGGCTGCCTCTGCCTCTGGTAAAGGATCTACTGTTATGTAGCTCAGTGCTATGGCATAAATTCCCTTCTACTGAGGTCAGCATACATAAAGCTTATAGGTGAGAAATTCTATTGCTGAAGTTGAGTGATCTTTGGTGACCCGTGACCTTGGTTAGATCAGATTGCAAGTCAGAAGAAAAATCCTAGGAGTATGCTTGGAAGGCATGAAGGTAGATCTTCAGAATTTCAGGATCACAAACTAAGACTATAATGGAGTGTAATCCTTTTAAAAGCAGTTTACTGATCATGAACTTGGTTAAATCCTGCCTGAGGGTCCATTTGAGTCAAGAGTCATATTGATTTCTCTTCATAAGCAGTTTTTAGTTAGCAGAAATCTTAGTATTATAAAAAAAATTAATTCTCTATCCAACATAATTATTTTATAAGTGATTCCCTCTTCTGAATTCCTTAATATAATGAATTATTGAGTATACTGCAGGCTCATTATTAAATTTCCTATAGTGCATTAAAGAGTAGAAAAATAATGTTCCTGTGTGACTTTGCTTTTTGTTCTCCTTCCTTGAATGATCAAAGTGATAGTGAGAAGAAAAGTTAGATAAAATTATTTTGGTTAAATCTCTCACCTTTATAGAAATATTAAGAGTGAAGATGTTTCATTGCAACAATTATGCAAAACTCAATCGCAAATCAAAATTTCTACTAGAAATTTCCTCTGAAATTAAAATCCGTATGTGTGTGTGTACACATGTGCTTACCCAGGGAGAATAGTATTGCCTGGTTATTTTCTATGTATTGAGCAAGAAAGAGGAAAAAGCAATGTTATGCTGATTGATTCACTGGAAAATTTACAATCACATTTCTGTGAGACTCCAGGGGCCCTTCACAATGGAGTATGGGGAAGTGTTAGAGACTCTGGGAACAGGGGAATTTACCAGCGTTAAAACTGAGAGGAGGGCCACTGTCAGGAGAGAAGAAGTCTAATATGATGCCACCCCTCTTCCTTCTCCACATACATTCAAGTCCCCGTGCACTGGCTGGGCAAAGGCATGAATGGCTACCACTTCTGATTCTCTCCAACATTTAGTTACTTCTTCTGAAAGAACTTTGTTCCATCAAAGGAAACTTTATGTGGGGAAAAAGTTCTACTAGGTGGTGTTGATGAGGTGCCACTCAGGGTAACCATCCAAGTTGCATTTGAAACTATTCCCTAGGGAATAGTTTGTGACTGTCCAAAGAGTCACACTGTACTATTACAGGGACTGGACATACTATCTATAATCAACTCCATTCATGCTTTCATTCTTTTACTAAATGCTAACCATGTACCAAATGACATTCACAGACTAGCCTGTCCAAGATTATTCAGTTTTTGCTTATCTTAAATATGACATGAAATGTCCCCCTAATGCTACGTGCAACTCTACCACTTTGGGAAAAAGGAACTGGATTTCCAGTGTGAGGTGTGGGAACACAGCTATAACCCTGTAGGAGACATGACAGTCCCTTCCTCCTGTACACTTCCCTGCAAGCACAACAGTTCTCTCAGCTCAAAGCCATCTCTCCTTACCAAGGCGCTTCTCACCCCAACAAGTCTCTCTCTTGAACTAGCTTATACATAAAATACAATACAAAGTGGAGTCTAGGGTTGGTTGTTAAGTGGGTGTGTGGTCACGGGCAGTGGTGGGTGGGATACTGAAGGATGAGGTTCACAGACACATGGCGAGAAGGTGGGAATATGAGAGGGAGATGCAGCCAGATCAAGTGCCTGCTGATACAGGGCAGCTATTCATATGCAGACCTGACATCAGTACTATGTGTGGACTTCCCCGGGGAGGCTGACTGGCTTCTCAAATTACAGCAAAGCTCAGGGTCAAACACATGTAATTCAAACCTTAGCTCTACCTCTTGCTCACTGTGAGAACTGGAAGGTGAATTAACCTCCTCAAAGTTCAGCTTCTTTGTCAGTAATATGGGGTAATAATAACCATGCCAGGGCATAGTTGTGAGAAGTAAATAAAATGATGTGTGTAAAATCATTTGGTAGATTGCTTGGCACCTAGTCACGCTCCTTAAATGTTAACTAGGATTCATATTTTTATTATTAATAAGTTGCTGGCTTTCTGTATTAAAGGTCAGGAGTGGAGAATATGGGTGAGAAAGGGTCTCCTCTTATAACACCCACATTCAGAAGAAAGAGAGGACTGGGAAGACCGCAGGTCTTGGGGGAGAGCTACAGACATTAAGAAAGGTAAGGTCAGTGTATCATCTTAAGGAAATGAGATGGCAAAACTGAAGATGGCACTTCTCACCTCAGTTCGGTGCACAAGCTGCTGAGTTGCATCATCATTCATTCGAAAAATTTCCAGAAATGGGTCAGATTTACTGAAGAAATCCTAAAACAGATAAGCAAAAATGAGTTTTTTTCTCATCCCCTTGCACAAACACACTCGATACATCCCTGGCTAAAATACCCCTGAATTTGACACTTCCTTGCTTTTGCCTTTGGCTAGAAGGAGCTGTATCTGAACCCCACAAGTTCTTTGAGAAGAAAGGACTTGGTTGATTGAAGTCCCAAGCAGTCTTCAAAGATCAGTTCAAATGCCAGTTATCTAAGAAGCAGTGTATCTGCTGTCTTAAACAGGTTCGTCCTAGTTATTGTAAAGCCTGTGTCTGATGTGTGAAACAGAGTGTTTCTTGCCATAGTAAACAAGGATGTCACAGTCATTAGCTATTCTGAGCCTCCAAATTTAATTTCTAGGCCCGGAGGGCACCGAGGAAGAGCAATGCCTCCAATCTGGCAGCCATTAAGCTGCTGCCACAAGCTGCCCCCACTCCCTATGGTGAATGAGGAACTAAGGATGTGAAAAATCAAGTTGCAGGATGCCGGCCCCAATAGCTGAGATGCATATTAAAGGAATGATTGCATTAAGTACAGACTCTTGCATCTTCCTATACATAGAAAAGCACTAAATTTCTTAACTCAAAAGATCTAAAGAAATATTTCCTTAATAAATTATAAGGAAATAATTTTCCTTAATTAACAATAATCTTCTTTGTTCAGACTACCTGCCCCTTGTGGCAAACTTCTTTATAACCTGACTCCCCACCCCGCCTGCCTCCATGAAACAGATGGAGAGACCCTCCATCTCTCAGGGTCATGTTAGATGCTGTCTCCCAGGCTTGAAATCCTAAAAATTCCCACAAAATAAAACATAACTCTCAATTTTAAGGTTTTGGCTATTTTTCAAGTTGACAATGACTACAGACACTGTGGGTCTGTTATTATCTGTTTCTCTGTTCTGCCTCTTGTTATGCTTGTTAATTTTTATTAAATACTAGACAGTTCAGTTCAGCCACTCAGTCGTGTCTGACTCTTTCTGATCCCATGGACTGCAGCACACCAGGCTTCTCTTTCCATCACCAACTCCCAGAGATTACTCAAACTTATGTCCATCGAGTCGGTGATGCCATCCAACCATCTCATCCTCTTTTGTCCCCTTCTCCTGCCTTCAATCTTTCCCAGCATCAGGGTCTTTCCCAAGGAATCAGTTATTTTCATCAGGTGGCCAAAGGATTGGAGATTCAGCTTCAAGACCAGTCCTTCCAATGAATATTCAGGGCTGATCGCATTTAGGATGGACTGGTTGGATCTCCTTGCCATCCAAGGGACTCTCAAGAGTCTTCTCCAAAACCACAGTTCCAAAGTATCAGTTCTTCAGCACTCAACTTTCTTTATAGTCCAACTCTCGCATCCATACATGACTACTGGAAAAACCATAGCTTTGACTTTATGGACCTTTGTTGGCAAAGTACTGTCTCTGCTTTTGGGTTGGTCAGCTTTTCTTCCAAGGAGCAAGTATGTTTTAATTTCATGGCTGAAGTCACCATCTGCAGTGATTTTGGAGCCCCCCAAAATAAAGTCTCTCTCTTTTCCATTGTTTTCCCATCTATTTACATGAAGGGATGGGACCAGATGCCATGATCTTAGTTTTCTGAATGTTGAGTTTTAAGCCAGCTTTTTACTCTTCTCTTTCACTTTCATCAAGAGGATATTTAGTTCTTTGCTTTCTGCCATAAGGGTGGTGTCATCTGCATATCTGAGATTATTGATATTTCTCCCAGCAATCTTCATTCCAGCTTGTGCTTCATCCAGCCCAGTGTTTCTCATGATGTACTCTGGATATAAGTTAAATAAGCAGGGTGACAATATACAGCCTTGACGTACTCCTTTCCCAATTTGGAGCCAGTCTGTTGTTCCATGTCCAGTTGTAACTGTTGCTTCCTGACCTGCATACAGATTTCTCAAGAGGCAGGTCAGGTGGCCTGGTATTCCCATCTTTTTCAGAATTTTCCACAGTTTGTTGTGATCCACACAGTCGAAGGCTTTGTCATAGTCAATAAAGCAGAAGTAGATGTTTTTCTGGAACTCTCTCACTTTTTTGATGATCCAGTGGATGTTGGCAATTTGATTTCTGGTTCTTCTGCCTTTTCTAAAACCAGCTTGAACATCTGGAAGTTCATGGTTCATGTATTGTTGAAGCCTGGCTTGGAGAATTTTGAGCATTACTTTACTAGCGTGTGAGATGAGTGCAACTGTGTGGTAGTTTGAGCATTCTTTGGCATTTCCTTTCTTTGGGATTGGAAAGAAAACTGACCTTTTCCAGTCCGGCCACTGCTGAGTTTTCCAAATTTGCTGACATACTGAGTGCAGCAGTTTCACAGTATCATCTTTTAGGATTTGAAGTAGCTCGACTGGAATTCTATCACCTCTAGTAGCTTTGTTCGTAGTGATGTTTCTTAAGGCCCACTTGACTTTGCATTCCAGGATGTCTGGCTCTAGGTGAGTGATCACAGCATCATGGTTATCTGGGTCATGAAGATATTTTTTGCATAGTTCTTCTGTGTATTCTTGCCACCTCTTCTTAATATCTTCTGCTTCTGTTAGGTAGACATCGTGTAATACTAGATACCATATAAAACACTTATAAAGGTTTTAGATGAGAGTTTAGCTCTAATAAGCAGTTAGAATGGGGGCAGTCACCTGATTCCAATTAGGATTGAGTTCTTTAGAGGTTGGCTTTTTCGAAAGTCTTTAGAAGTCTGATGTAGTTCTGATTTCTTTATTCCTTAGGTACAGTCCTTTAAGACTGTCATTCAAAAACTCACTGTTTATGAGGGATGTTTCTCCTTGAAAAGCCATCAATACTCATTTTTGTTTGTGAGACTCTCTGAAAGACTGTTTATTTCTGTTATTTCTTTTTTTCTCTTTTACTTAAAAAAATTCTTAAATTGGAGGATAATTGCTTTACAGTGTTGTGCTGATTTCTGCCATAAAACAATGTGAATCAGCCATAAGTATATATATGTATATGTACATGAGTATATGTATATGTATATAAGTATATATGTGTGTATATACATATACACTATGTATATACTATATATTCCCCTCCCTCTTGAGCCTTCCTCCTACCCCTCATCCATCCCACCCCTCTAGGCCGTCACAAAGCACCAGTCTGGGCTCCCTGTGTTATAAAGCAGTTTCCCACTAGCTGTTTTACACATGGTACTGTATATGTCAATGCTACACTCTCAATTCATCCTACCCTATCCTTCCCCACACTGTGTCCACAAGTCTGTCTGTTCTCTATGTCTATGTTTCTATTCCTTCCCTGCAAATAGGTTCATCTGTACCATTTTTCTAGATTTCATGTATATGTGTTATTTGTTTTTCTATTTTTTAAAAAACATGATATTTGTTTTTCCCTTTCTGACGTACTTCATTCTGTACAACAGGCTCTAGGCCATGATCTCTTGGCTCTACAGTTCTTGGTTCAGTTTCTCTCTAAGTTGCTATTTGCTAACTAGTGAATGCCCTGAGAGAGTAAGTCACTCCAACTGTTGGGCTGCTTCCCTCCTCTGAAGCCTCTACAAATAATCCAAGCTGTCCCTGTAACCCCGAGTTCCAGCTTTGCTTCCCCAACCCCATAAGACTATCAAAACCACGGCTCAGTTTCTTATTTCTCAGTAACTGTTTTCTGCTAGGCTTCCCAGGTTCTCCATTCCTAGGTTTTATGACTCAGCCTTATGGAATTGCCTTGAGTGGAAAATCTGCATAGACTATCTGAATCATCTCAATGGATTTCTCTTCTTCCCAGCTTCTCCACTCCTAAATCTTGACTGACTTTAAAGACTCCCAAAGAGACATCCCTTGTATCTTGTTCAGTGTTTATAGTTGTTTTCAGTGGCAGAACAACATAAAACAAACAGGCATTTTAATACCGGAAGTAGCATACGTTTAAGTTTGCTTTTTACCCCAATAGATTATAAACTCTTCAGAGAAGAGGAATTATGTCTTATTTTCCTTTATATTTCTACATTTTCCTTAGCATCTAGTTTTTAGTGGCAGACGTATTTACTGGATATATGAATAAATACATAGGTGAATGAATGAGTGACATGAACACTGTGTATATAACAGGAGGTTATCTGAGACGCAGCTTTAGTCATCACATTCTTACTATGTATTTCACCAGGTTATTCCCTGCCCCAGAAATCCAGGTGGCAGCAAAGTAGAATAAAGCCTACAGCCATCTTAGTCTTTAGGTCAAAAAAATACTCTCAGGGAATATACTGATCATGGAAACTTGTGCTTGATATTAAGATTCAAGGAAGGGTAAAAACTTTTCTCAGCCCTCCAACGTGTTATCTAGTTTGGTGCTAAGTATACACATAAACATCACCAAGGGTTAAGTATGAATGAATGAATGAATGAACAGCAGAGAAGAGGGCAAGTTGATGGATTTTGATTATAAAATATGGTTTTGAGAAAAGGAAAACAAAGGATGTCACAGTCATCAGCAATTGCAGCCACCAGGGATGGTGAGCTGGTGAACCCTGAGGGGACTCAGGAAGGTAAGAATACCAGTCATCTCGTAGCCATCAGACTGCAGCCACTCTCTGCAGTCAACCAAACATAAAACAAACAGGCATTTTAATACCGGAAGTAGCATACGTTTAAGTTTGCTTTTTACCCCAATAGATTATAAACTCTTCAGAGAAGAGGAATTATGTCTTATTTTCCTTTATATTTCTACATTTTCCTTAGCATCTAGTTTTTAGTGGCAGACGTATTTACTGGATATATGAATAAATACATAGGTGAATGAATGAGTGACATGAACACTGTGTATATAACAGGAGGTTATCTGAGACGCAGCTTTAGTCATCACATTCTTACTATGTATTTCACCAGGTTATTCCCTGCCCCAGAAATCCAGGTGGCAGCAAAGTAGAATAAAGCCTACAGCCATCTTAGTCTTTAGGTCAAAAAAATACTTTCAGGGAATATACTGATCATGGAAACTTGTGCTTGATATTAAGATTCAAGGAA